GCAATATACAAGTGTATTGTATATAAACTTGTCACACAAAGTGCATAACATATAAGTAAGATGAAATAAAAGTGACAATTTAAACACTGAGAATATAAAAATATATTATTTTGTGTTAAATCTTTATCTGAAAGGAAACAAAAGCTGTCAGATTAATGTAGTGGAGTAGAAAGTACAATATTTCCCTCTAAAATGTAGTAGAGTGGGAGTATAAAATAGCAAAATCCGAAAGAAACCAGATTAAAGGGTATACATGCACCGAATAATCTGACTATTAGAGAAAAAGCTAGATGTGTTTATCTGATTTCTCATAATCAGATAATGGCTTTTATCAGATAAAGCCTATCGGATTATGCTGTTTACATGACCACTTGAATAATCAGGTAACTCCAGAAATCAGATAATGATTGGTTTATTAGTGTGCATGTAAACGAGCTCAGTGTCATTGGTTAAATAAACTGTTAAATAAAATTTTATCCATGCCGCCTACTCCGACCAGTGTCACACATGATGTGATTTTGTCTGTCAATCAGCATTGGGTGACCTGCTGCCTCTCTATGACACATCTCCACGTGACCAGAAGTCAACACAATCTATTTAACAAATGTTAGAAAGAGAAAACCAGTTTAATCCTTCTTCATCCTCCTTCACATCAGACTTCTTGACTGCATCAAGAGACATACTTGTTGAGTTTCAGTACAGTAAAAAACAAGGAACTGAAGAAATGACAACAAACAAGCAAAAGCCCTCAGGAACTGGGTGACCTAACTGTTTCATGTACAGTAAGTTCTTCCAAGCAGCTCTGAAATGTCATATGCATACAAGGGGCCTTATTCAAACACCCATCTCTACATGTGGGTGGGCAGGAGTTTCCCCAGTGAGCCTGAGGTCACACCCTGCTCGTCCTCATCCCTCTGTGACCTTCCTGTCTCCAGTTCATATATTCCACATTAATAAAGGTCATAAAAAGAAGGAAACTACAGTGTGGCATTTTGTATAAATAGTGTTGACACAACAAATGACTAAAAGGGGCAGTGCTGCGTGGGGATGATGTCAGCCTTGTGCCTTCACCACACAAACAAACATAAATCTTCTGTTTCTTTGCATTTTTACTCCCCCTACTTCAGAACGTATGTGTTAAAACAATAAAAGCAGCACCTGATTTGTGGTGGATAACTGGCAGCTGATGTAAAACACATTTATTACAACGCAGTGAGTTCGATAAGAGTGCAGAGAGAGGTGTTTTTATGCCATTCTCACAGCTGGATTCTGCATTAATGGATTGTATTTCCTCAGATCTATGTGCGAATGAACCTGTAGCACCAAGGAGAAGTCATGACAGAAACTTTAACAACCAATTTATGCCAAGGATCAGTCATTAGCTAACTAGAGAACAATGAGATCATCAGAGAATCAGTCAAATGGGAGCTGCTCTCTGAGTGCTGGCCTGAAGTCAGGATGATCTCATAACAGAGCTGCTCAAAGGCAACTTTATCTCCATCTATGCCAGTGAGAAGTTTAATGTTGTCATTTATTCAGGCCGGCACTTTAGATCAGCAGGTCTCTGCTGGACTTGATTTCAAAGCTGATTGAATGACAAAAGGGAAAAAAGAGTATGGCGCTGAGGAGAGAAATTATATCCACAGTGGACTTTGATTATGTTTTTTTTCCCTCTCTCTCTCGTGCCCCTCAGTTGAATCCTTATGGGCCTTCATGTTCATTAGAAGAGTCACTGCTATTTGTATGTAACAATGCTGCTACCATGTGGACAGGAGGGGTACACACAATCCTGTATTCCACTCACTCCTGAGATCTGAAGACAAAACCTTTCCTTTGGTTTTGTTTTTTCAATAAGGCTGGGAAAATGTGTTTTAAAAGATCAAAGTCTTGACTATAAACCCTGCAATGAGCCAACCTCCCAGTTGACGTCTTGTGGAGTTGACAAAAAGTTATATATTCATCAATTTCACTGCAGTTGTACTGAGTAGCCATTTTATTATTCAAAGCTGCCAAAGGTTTTCTTAATGCTAATCAAAATACTCATTTTTTTTAACCAAAATCCTAATTTAGTTTTGATTTGGAAGGGCTACACAGTTGACCTGTTTTGGTTGAGACACACCCAACAGCAATATTATTTAATGAATTTATCAAAAATATGAACACTTAGCAGTACTTTAGCAGCATCCCCACCTTTCTGTAAACCGTAGGAGTTGACAAAAAAACCTTGACACATTTTGAAAGGGCTTACGTTTTCACAAAAAATATATTTTAAAACAAAGATGAATATGTCAGTACATTTTTACACCAGTGTTATCGGTACATACTGTTATTGTTAGATTTTGAAGGCTTTTGTGGACGCTTTAATAGTATGAAGTTGTGAATTCTTGACTGGTACCAGGGTGATTTCTGGCACAGGGCAACTTTAGATATTTAAAAAAGATGAAAGTATTTCAAAATATTCTATATATCTTATTTATTTCATACATATAAATCCTTGACAAGTAATGTTACACTCTAGAAATGAAATTAGTGTGTTGATAAGTTTTAATTTTAAGGTTGTTGTTTTTTTTTGTTTTTGTTTTTTTTGTAGAACATGATTCATCCCAATTCCCAAGAATGGGGGATTTATTTATATATTATTGAAAAATTGCATGAGGATGATAAATTTGAATATTTTAAGATATAGTGTCACTGTAGGCTCACAGATAGGATGCAAATTTTGTTTTCTTTTAGGCCTGTAGACTCTTGATTTTGATAAGGAAACACTTCCATCAAAATAAATAAATAATAACAACAGGTAAAATAAGGGACAACCCCCAAAAAGAGCAAAAGAGGAGGGGCCACTCTTTACTTAAATAAAAATAACACCAAAAGCCTACACCTTAAAAAACAACCAAAAACATAGCCATAATTACAACTCACACAATTAAATGATTTGGCACATTGAAATTTACATTTCATTGAATTGGCTCATAAACCTGAATTGAAATAATGACAGCTCATACCATTAAGGTGAAATTCCATAACTAATTTTGTTAAGTTAAAGCAAAAAGACAGAAGTTGTAATGACTTACTGGTCAGATCCCCCTCTTTTTTAACAGTGTACAGTTATGTAAAAATACTTCATTACAATAAATAATTGTGCAAAGACATAGTGTTGCAGCTGATTAAGGTTTTACGGCTTTAAACAGGGATCAGACAAGTATTGGATTATTTTACTTAATTAAAAGTAAAGACGCTTTTGTAAAAATGCCTTTTAAAAAAAAGGAAAACAAAATATAGGTCAGTCAAAGTGCACTCTGAGTATGTACTATGTATAGGCTTAATGGTGGTGATGATGATGATGATGATGATGATGATGATGATGATAATACACACATTTAGGCTACAAAATAAAGTTCATCAACACGTCAACGTACAGATTACACCACACCTTATGTCCAATATATGTCTGTTGTCTATGTCGGATAAATAAATAACCGCCTTCTTCACCAGAAACAAAGAAACCCAGACAATTAAACAAAATGGCGGACAATAACTGAGACCTGACACCACTGCGGGTGCAACAAGCGTTACTAAGCAACAAAAACAGAATAACCTGTCACTTCGTACAGCAGCAAAGTGAAACATCACCAAGGCAGACAGCATCCACAAGTTACATCTGTTACAGTCAGTGTGTTGTTGTACTCACCTGTCTGAACGGCCTTCATGCACCATAAAGTCTCAACACTGCTCCAAGTTCAACTTCTCGAGGTAAGCTAGGCTAACCTGTGTAGGCTAACCAGTCCACTCTGAGTGTCCCAGTATAACCAGTCCACTGTGTCCCGTTTAAAGCTGAGTGAGTCTCCGTCGTCACAAACAGCAGCAGAAAGTCCTCACACACCTTTACTGAAGGTAAAAGTTCGGAAGTGACCACAGACATGACCTGGAGGATCCACCATCAACAGCATTAGCATTTAGCCTGTTAGCTTCGTCCAGAATGCACCTGTGGGTCACGAGAGGTCTTAGGTATGTTTGATTTGGGTCACTTAGCTGCTTACAGGGGTGGTGCATCAAACCAGTGATGAATTAAAGGGGAACACCACCTAAATGAAGAATTCCAGTATGTTATTTCCATGTCCCAGGAAAGTTAAGTCAATATATGTGAATGAGTTACTCGTGCTCGAGTCAATGTGGTGGACACTGCAAATCACACTTTATCCTAAATTATCTTTGTTTCACCTTTGACTGAAAAATCCTTCCACCCTATTAAAAAACAAATATTACTTGATGCTTGCTGATGTTTTTTTCTAATCTAAATACTGTAAAACTTCAATTAAAGGCCTGGTCCCCTTTAATAGCCCAGTGTGGCTACACATTTTGACAAATAAAGGCCTGTCTCAGTTAGAGCACTGGTTCCCAACTAGTGGGTCATGGTCCAAAAGTGGGTTGCAGGTCTATTTTGAATGGACCACAGCTGACTCAATAATGTTCCAAGTTTGTAAAAAAACACACTTTATTTTAAACTACAGCGCATTTCCGGCACAGCGCTTTTATTTTGAGGTTTCCTGCTGTAGAGTGAGTGAATAACAGACAGTGAACTAGCTCAATGACATGGCCAGATGCAAGTGTGACGCTGAATATATTAAAATGTGTGGACCTTGAACCAATGACTAAGGAGAAATCTGGATCCTTGGTCCCTCACTAAAACAAAAAAAAAATAAAAAAAAAATGGTAGAAACCTCAGAAAGAGCAACTTAGGAGGGATCCCTCTTCCAGGACGGACAGACAATGGATGCAATGGAAGTCGTACAGAACAGATCAACATAATAAATTTACAACTTTTTTTTAGACTATGCCATGGTAATGTCAATCTTATCCCATACCGATACTTAAAATGAAATACAAGTACACAACTAGAACTGCAAGCAGTTATGAACGGGGGCCAAGCCCCCCCGTGCGACTCGGTCCCCGCGTCCTGCAGAGCCCATGGAAGTTGTCCCCAAAGGACGATGGGCTCTGGGCGAGCGCATATTTATGAATGTGTCATTTAAAATGTGGAAGTTACGGGCAAAACTGCCTTTGCATCCGTTATAGCGCCACCTATAGACCGATTTGCAACAAATTTGGCACAAAGCCTCTGGATGACCTCGGGAACGAGTGACTTAAGTTTGATGTTGAAAGCATCTATTTTGAGCGAAATATGAAACAATGTTTGTTTTTTAGCTAGCAAAAAAGATTGTTTGATTGTAACAAGCGCATTTTTTGGAGTGCCAAAATTCTTTTGATAACTTTTCATCAGACACATCTGGAGATTCTATGTGCAAAGTTTCATAGAAATCGGTGCAGCCGTTCAAGAGATATAAACTTACCATATTTGTAGTGCCCCCTAGTTGCCAAAATTCGCCAAATTCGGCTCATACCCTCACAGTCTTATGCCAACCAATGATCTCAAATTTGGTGTTAATAGCATTTAGTTTGACCGAGATATCCAACTGTTTGCATTTTTATAGCTAGCTATAGAAGTTTGTTTGTTAATAATTTGCGCATTTTTTTGACCGAATAAAATTCTTTTGATAACTTTATATCAGGTCCAGTAGAAGAGTGTAAGTGTCAAGTTTCACGCAGATTGGACAAAATCCCAAGGAGAAGTTCGAAAAAGTAGGTTTTCCAGTTTTCGCGATTTTGCGAAAAAACTTCCTAGGCGCAAGTGGGCGTGGCCTATGGCAAGGCCTATGGCAAAGATTCAGCTCTATTCAGGGAAGCTGGGGATACAAGATTTTTGAATGTGCGACATACAGTGTGGGAGCTATAGGCAAAAACGCATTGGCCTAGGTTATAGCGCCCCCTGCAGGCAGATATACATAGTTTTTTGCATCTGAGGTAAGTGCAGGGGTCTAGACCACCCCTCCAAATTGCACCGCCCTCCCTTGCACGGTTTAGCCTGCAGCACCACTTTTACCTACGGAAGAATAAAAATAAAAATCTTTACAAAAACAATAGGGTTCCTAGCACCGCTGATCCTAGGAAATGCGTCTGCTTGCATACGCGTTACCTCAGCCCCTCGGGCTTGGCCCCCTAAAAAAACTACTGGCAGAGCAACAGCAGTAAATGTAATCACATCCACCCTTGATATTCAGTTTAATTAATTAGCTTAGTCCTGAGGTTGCCAACCTAGGGGTCGGGCCCCTCCAAAGGTCAAAAGATAAATCTGAGGGGTCATGAGATGAGTAATCGGAGAAGAAAGAAAAACTTCTGATACACAATCTTTTCTTTTTATGTAATAAATGATACTTTTAAGTCTTTGAGCCTCAGACATGAAACCATCTGAGACTCAGAGGGGGAATAACCCTTTGCTGGAACTGCTGACACCCTATAGACATCTAAACCTGTGACAAGGGGCCCAAACTAAACACTGCCTGCCAGGTGATTTTCTTTCTTCAAGGAAAAGAAAAACAGACGAGTCAAACTATATCTACCCCTATGAAACCTGCATGTAACCTAAACTTCTGATCCACATGTCAAACTGTGATTAATGGAGTCTGTCTGTGTGTATGTGTCTAAATGTGACCCTCAGTATACTATGATAATCCTCAATATGTCCCTGAACAATGATATATAGCTTTCAGTCAGGTAGTTTCACCATGATATTAAACATGACACCAAATGAAGAAACTTTAACAGTTTATTTCATGTTAAACAAGTAAACATGAATGGTGTTACAAATATTACACAACTGTGCGTCATGAACATTTCATCCCTTACTGCTGTTAAAATGCTGCTGTATAAATTATTTTAATCACAAAGATCTTTTACCAAAATCACTCAGAAAAACATGGATATGGTATTTACATGGTTAAGTGTTAAGTGTCACTTCATTATGGAGGATGTACCTATAACTGTACATAATCAACTGCATACACTTTAAAATACTGACGAGTAACATAGTCGAGTCACAAACGTTTCACAGATTTGTCTTGCGGATTTATCGAGATCCTTCAATTGACACTTCAATACAAAACAAAAATATTTTTCTGAACTCATACGCTCACAACTGTGCATTAAATATCAGATTTAATTCAGCATTTTAATACAACACTGTACATCTAACTCTTCTCAGAAGGGAAGCAGGTCTAAAGACTTCCTGATTGTGTTGTTCTGTCTCAGTATGTTACACTGTAACAGGAAGGAGATCATTTCCAAGGCTTTTATGTGCGTGTGTGTTTGTTTTTAGTCTAAAACTTGGCTTGTCTGATGACAGACGGTGCAGCCAGGCTCCCATTGTGGCAGTCAGAAGGTCCCTATTAATAAAAAGAAGCTTGTTAATTCAACAGTTTTATAAACACAGACGTCTTCTGTCTCTGTAGATTTTATTGGTCTGGCTTCATCTTTAAAGAGTCGGAGATCAAAAACAGTGACACAAATACACAACGATCCGCCATATCATTAAAGCCACAGATAGGTGAAGTGAATAACAGTGATCATCTTGTTACAATGAAATGTTCTTCTGGCAAGCCTTCGAGTCCCAGCATTCATGTCGATGCAACTTGACCCGCACCGCCCATCCAAACACCCTCACAGACCAAGTACACCCCCTCATGGCAACAGCCCTCCCCAGCAGGCCAATATGCCAGCCTTGACCTAGCGTCCAAATTCCTAGATCCCAATCTGATCAAGCATCCATGGGACGTGCTCGTACCAAAGCATCAAGTACTCAAAGGGTCTGCCACCAACGCCCTGGTGCCAAACATCACATAACACTCCCAGCGATCCTGTGTCCGTACCTTGACAGGTCAGAGGCCGCACCGTGGATCGGACTTGAGGGGTTGAAACAGGAGTTCTGGGGTACTGCCATGTCCCACAGATTCTCGATTGGATTGGGATCTGGGGAATTTGGACCGAAGTTTAGCTTTTTGTCACCTTGCTCAGGCCATTACTGAACAGTTTTGGAGGTGTCTCATTGCGCATTGTCCTGCTGAGGGGGCACTGCCATTGGGAGTACTGTTGCTATGTTGAGTCAAGCCATGCCACGCTGATTTGCATTTCCATTGTAAGTTAAGACGGGCCATGACACGGCAAGCCACGCTAGAGATAGACCTTCTCTGGAGTAGGTCCAAAAGCAGGGCCACCCACCCTCAAGCGGGTAGCAGTGATGTCTCGCCAAGCCATCATCAGTTAGACACACCTTCAAGTAGGTAGCCCTGTTGTAATGCAAATGCAAATCCCTGCCAGGCTAGGCTGACGGCCCAAATCAAGCCAAGCCAAGCCAAGCCAGCCCATGCCTGTCAAAAAGGGGTATTGGTCTGTAAGGTTGTTTGGGTGGGTGGTGCGTGTCAAGTGGCATCCACATGAATGCAAGTACCCAAGGTTTCCCAGCAGGACATTTCATTGCAACAACATGATCACTGTTATTCACTTCACCTGTCAGTGGTTTTAATGTTGTGGCTGATCGATAAACCCATCAAATGTTCCGCTCAATAACACAGTACATTATCTCCTGTTAACGTGCTCAAGTTTTATAGACAGCCTTTACATATTATTCCTACACACATTTTGTACACAAACATTCAAGATAACACACGACTGAAAACAGCCCAGATGTTTCTGTGGATCTTCTTTCACATTATCTTACTTGTACTTATTATTTTGGTCATTATTATAATCTTTAGAGCGAGTACATGTCTACATTCTGTTGCTTCAGGTTACTGAAAGTCGTTATTTGAAGGGTACAATCTTTAAAGGGACAAAACTTAGGATCAAAGTGATTTATTAAAATACTAAAATGCTTCTGTAGCTTCAGTAAGGAATTATGAGGGCCGGGCAATATCACAAAACTTTTGACCAAATACCTCAATATCAATATTGCAACAATACTGTGGGGTTAACAATTAGTGCATTTACAAATTATTTTCTCAATAGATTTTTGATAATCATCAGTGATGTGGATTTAATGACTGCAAGTGTTATGGAACAGCATGATGGTGTTCTCT